CAATTGGGGGCCCCGTTAGGCCCATAGGCCCTGTGGGGATGCGGGGACGCGGGGACGCGGGGACGCCCGCCTACACCCCCCCCTCCCCCTCCAATTGGGGGGCCTTTGAGGCCCACAACGGCCCGAGGGGCATTGAGGGGCGAGGGGCGGGGGCAGCCCGCCCCCTCCCCTCCAGTGAGGCCCGTGTTCCCTTAGGCCCGGTGAGGGGCGGGGACAGCAGGAGATGCGGGGGCGCCCGCCACCCCACCCCCCTCCAATTGGGGATGCTGGGGACGTCATTGCGCCATGGGGCGGCGACGGATTCTGGGGACGCCCGGGGACGTGGGTGTTTGGGGACGCTGGGGATGGTATCGGTGTGCGAGCTGGGGACGGATGCTGGGGACGCCCCCCCCCCTCCCCTCCCCTTTCAGGGGCGTCCCCGGGGACGTCCCCGCCGTCCCCGGGGACGTCCCCGCCGTCCCCGGGGACGTCCCCTGAGGTTGGGCCTTTTCTCTTGCACGCTCAGTGAAATTATCGGTGTCTGGTGTTTGCAGTACGGGTACCTGACCTACGCGGCGGCCGTCATCGCCAAGGAGGACAAGCGCTGGCTGGACTCCCACCGCCAGAAAGTCCTGGAGCTGGTCCGCGACTACGCCAACCCCAACCGCGCCGACCGCTACTATCCCTTCGCCCGCCACTTCGACTTCTACCTGGCCCACAGCTGGGCGGGCGGCCTGTGGGTCTTCGACGCGGGGCGCAACCAGGAGTCCTCATCCGAGGCCGTGAACGCCTACTACGCTCTATACCTTTTGGGATCCGCCATGGAAGACAAGCAGCTAGGGGACTGGGGACGAATACTCATGTCCATGGAGCTGGCGGCCGCCCAGAAATACTGGCACATCCCCAGCTCCTCCGCAATCTATCCTGCCCCCTTCTCGGCAACCAAGATTGTGGGCATTTTGTGGTCCACGCGGGTGGACTACTCCACGTGGTTCGGCCTCAATGTGGAGTACATACACTGCATACAGTACTTGCCGTTCACGCCGCTCACAGAGGTGTTGTTGGACACGGAGAGGACTATCACGTGGTGGCCGCAGCGCTGGGCCGGCCGGAACCCGCCGCTGTCCGATTGGTGGCGCGGGTACATTGTCATGGCGCACGCCATCATAGACAGGGAGGCTGCCTGGAAAGAGGCATCCACCCTGGAAAGCTTCGACCTGGGCAGCACGCGGGTCAACGTGCTGTACTGGATCGCCACGCGGCCGGGCCAGGGAGCCCCGCCCAGACCCCTGGGACCCGCACTAGCCGTGAGCGCGCCCCAAGGACCCTTGATTGGGCCTCAGGGGCCCGTTGGTGGGCGTCAAGAGCCCGTGGGTGGGCGCCAAGAGCCCGTGGGTGGATCTCAAAGACCATTGGTCGGGTCTCAAGGGGCCGTAAGGGGGCGGGGGGTGGTGGCGGGGGAAGAGATGGCGGTGGATGGCTGCAGGCAGTGCTCCTGCAAGTGCGACTGCAGCGAGGTGGGCGCGGGAGAGAGGGAGGAGGACTGCAGGTGCGCGTGCCGGTGCAGGAGGGTCGAGGGAAGGTCGGACTACTGCTTGGCGATCTAGGTAGTTGTTGACACAGGCGGGGGCGCCAAGCAGGGAATTTGTGGGAGATGTCAATTCTTTCGTTTCGCTGTTGTTTTGGCTTGATTGCAGTCTTTGAAGGCTGGTGTATTCTGGAAGCGAACGAGGTGCTCCTGTTGGGCACAGTGGTCTTGGTGAGCCCCTGGAACGCTGGGGCGATTCTTCTTCCGTGAAATTGGTGTAAGTTTTTTCATTATACAGTATTTTCTTTTGTAATTTGCCCACATGGTTCCTGCTACAACACCCGTGCTTCTGAGGAGACCCCCGTCGCAAAACAGCTGCGAGAATCAAGTTACCAGTTATGCCATTTTCAAGCATTTCGAGCATGGGGTTCACCCAGAAAACGTATTGGGCTTCGTCTGCACCTCATGTACTTCTCATTGGCAGTTTCTGAGCGTACTTGTTGTCACTGTCCGCCCACATTTGAGACTTCCCGTGCCAAAAATTTGAATTTTTGATGACTTTGGTGCTGTGCTACGCAATCAGCAGCCATCTGCTGGACCAATCCCGATCAATTATATCAGTAACAGCATGGCCAATGGCGAAGCTAGCCATAACAGGACTGGAACTGACGAGAGGTGCTGAGTGCGTGGGATGCTGGCTGGTGGGGATGGTGAAGGTGAGGAGGGGCATGCAGAGGTGGGCCCGTCCAAAGTTGGTCGGAACGGGAACGGCAATGGTGTCCGTTCCCGTCCCAGGGACGGGTCCGTTCCTGGGACGGGAACGGACACCGTTCCTGTCCCAGGAACGGACCCGTTCCTGGGTCCGTTCCAGGGTCAAGAACGGACCCGTTCCAGTCCGTTCCAGTCCGTTCCAGTCCGTCCCAAATCCGTCCCAAATCCGTCCCAAATCCGTCCCAAATCCGTCCCAAATCCGTCCCAAATCCGTCCCAAATCTGTCCGGCCCAAGGACGGGGACGGACTCCGGTCCGTCCCCGTTCCTAGTCCGTCCCCGCTCCTGGACGGCCCACCTATGGGGGCAGGGTGAGGAGGTTGCGCGGCACAGTTAAGGATAGTTCCGCCATAGCAACTCAGCAATTGAGATTTCAATCTACCACATTGGACGCAAAGCACCCCAGAACTCGAACGACTCACCGCAATAATGGTCGTTCAGCCACAGAGGGAGGCTGACTAAGGTCCGGGCTTGGGATGGCTTGGCTGGGTCGAACATGTTCTGAGCAAATATTGTGGAAAATGTTATTCAGGTGGGTACAGGATATCCCATTTCTTTGCAAGCGGCGAGCCAGATGTGCCCATACGGAAAACCAGATTCGTCCTGGAAGGGTGGTCTTCTGCAAACGTGTCTGCAAACGGTCATCAGATTCGCCCTGTGACTGCCTTAAATATGCAGCCACGAGCACTTGATGAGCACACACCAGCTGGTCATTCGCGTTGCCTATCTCGCCTTACAAGACAAGTACGTGACGCCACTTGGAACTCGCACAAGACCTGCAAGCTGAAATCGGCTGCCCTCGGCCAGTCCACCCAGAGTGGCGGTCGCACTGGCGGGATGGACCTCTGGAAGAGTATTGGGATCCAAAACCAATTCCCTTATTGGTGCCTGCCTCGATGTATCCCGCTGTAACATGAAAGGCCGCTGGCACGCCCATTAGAAAGCGTAGCATATCAAAACGGAAAGGGGTTTCGGCTGCACCGGCGCCGTTTGGCGTGTGTCGCGTGCCTCCACGTCCCCGCGCGATGGGTTTTTCATTCACAATTCCATCCTGCTGCGACACCTCACGCTGTGGACTTGGTTGAGCATCGTGTTTGCAAAAGGGACAAGAAATGGTCACCGCCAGTGTCCTAGTGGCGATGAGACCGTGCTTCTATAGCGCGATAGCCATTTAAATGGGGATGACCAAGGCGAATTGGGAGCCACAACTTGTGACCTCAGAAGAATGGAATTGAACTTCAGCAACCTGGCCACAGGAAACACAAGGACCTGGCAACGCACGCCCCTCCAAGTGCGGATACCATTTCAAACTGTTGGCCGTGGATATCGAAATCCCGACAAAATTCATGGGAGCAAGCAGAGAAACAAAAAATATGATGGCTGCCATTGCGGCAAACCGCAACAAGGAAATTAACGCCAATCCGAACACATCAGCTGTGAAACTTGTCGGCAAACAATGCGCTTCTCCGCACAGCGTGCATGCTTTCATGACAAGACAGTCTGCAGTTGTGCGCAATTCCAGAGATGGCATCTGATTCTCCCTACATTGCAGCGGGATGCGGAATACCTGTTCGGAATCTCGAGGGCATCATGTATGAACTCCCATCGGTAGTACATAGCCTCCATCATGCCCTTCTCGTTTCAGTATCAGGTCTGATGTGGACCTCACTGACAGTGCCGATGATGAGGTATGCCAGGATGTTGAGGGCGAGCAACATCCCCTGAACGTGGAATGCTACGAAGTACAAGCGAAGCCCAACGGCTGGTGACGGCCACGTATCCCTCCGCCATCACCTCCCATATGTTCGCCACAAGCATAACCAGCAGGGTGGTGCAGCCGCTCCATAGGCCATTAAAGCTGAGGGTTATGAAATCGTAGATGTGGTCGAGGAAGGCGAAATCGAGAGTCTTTCCCTTCAATATGTCGTAGAACTTGCTGTAATAATCGCGATTGATCCGCCCGCCGAAAATGTGCATCCCGGCGTTGACCACAAGAGCATGATGGGTAACAGCGCCTTGAAGAGGCGCCAGGCCGGGACCAGCATACAGCCGAATGTGGCCCCGATCTCTTTGAAGCCCTGAATTCTGTCAAGAGACCTTGAGGCTCACAGGGGGCGGAGCAATTGGATCCATCTACCCAAGTTGGAGATGCTGGCAGTAGTTTGGCGTAGGTTGGCGTTGATGATGAACTCGCTTTTGTTGAGCACCCCTAGGCTTAGCCCCAAACGCCCTGTTCCACGACCCTGGCGACCATTTCGCACACAAAGAAGAAGACGAGCAACTTCTGCACTGCGTCGGCGAGGGCCGCTGTCATTGTAGGTCGGAGCGCGGAAGCCCAGGGGCCGGTAGGTCTCCTGTGCCAGAAGCATGGCGTTCAGAATGCGCACAACACAAGGAAAAAAAGACCAAACAACACTTTTTAGAACACCCACAAAACACATTTCATCAAAGTCCTGCACCCTAAGAACACAAAAATAACACAAAACCGTAAACTTTGTACACATTTGTACATGTGTTATTTGGGCCCCTTTTCCCTAATGCAAAATCGACGATCAGCTCGAAACGCTCGGTGCACACAAAGTGGCAGGCCCGCGGAAACCGTCGTTATTGCGACTGGGTGAATTGCGGCTTCGAGGCTCCCAATGACCTGATGCTCACTAAGCAAACCTTCGGAAGTGATGAACAGATATCAGATTTGCTGCCATAGCGATCCATGTTTACACCACTGTTCGACCAGGCAACCACTGGAGAGCCAGTCGGGCAGGATGCGCCAGTCAACAGCAAGGCATCTGCATCTATGCATTCAATTTTGTTTCTTATAGTTGTTTCTTGGAAGTGACACTGATGAAAAGGAGATACAATGGTATATAGACCATGGCGGCTGCGCGCGCTGATCACAAGCCGAAAGCGATTCTGCGCTATAGCGAATATCATGGTCCATGCTAATGGGCCATACCAAATACCAAAGTGCCGCTCGCTCCCCAAGTTCCCTAGGGTGCGCTTGGGTATGCGAAATTCCGCGAGGCATAAAAATTCACACGGCATTAGAATTCACAGGTCAAAGAGCTCGTGTAAAGAAGCAGGCAGTGCCTCCACCTCGAAATGCGCGAGGCTTTGATTGCTGCGAACATTTACGACTCTACAGAATGGTCCGCACCATCGCAGCCTGAGCAGAAGTCGCGTCGGTGAGCTCACCCTCAGCACACCACACAGCGCCCAAAACTCTGACTCGTCCAACAAGCTGTCGTCGTCAACATCAGCCGCATCAAGCAAGAACTGCGCGCAGCCCAAGCTCATATGCTCGAGGTCTTGCTTCAAGGGAGAGAACCTCGACTTGTTGCTCGTGTCGCAGAACACCTCCTTGATCCTCTCAACATCGATCCTGCTTCTGTTTTCCCTGTTTGCCAACAGCCTGAGCGCCTCCTTCAGGTTTGCTTGCCGGCGCCCCAGCCTTGTTAGCCGCTCGCGCTCCCTGCTGGACTTGCATCCCTGTAGGTGATAGCGGTGATCGTGGTAAGCCCGAAGAACGACACCAGCATGGCGAAGGAGGCGTAGTACAGCGCTACCCAGGGGGAGTTGCTTGCGGTGAGACACCACGAGCTTGATCATCGCCTCCCACATGTTCAGGAAGATGAAATCTTTCTCGAACTCCATGTGTTGGTCGACGAACAAAGTGCAGTCGCTCCATGCGAAGAAATCCACGAAGACGAAAAGGAGAAGCACATGTCCACGTGTACACGCAGCCAAAGGCAGCCATCATGCTGTACACGACCCTCACCGCAACGACGGCCATCCGATGAATGACGCCAAATGGAACCACGCGGCGGGCGTCGCACAGGCCCGCGCGAAGTCCACGAAGGACAGGCGCAGCAGCGTCGCCTAGGCGACCCGCAACTTGTCGCCGTACAGCTGCCGCCCGTGGGCTCTCCAGCGCAGATACAGGCCGAAGACGAGGGCGGACTGGATGCACAGCTCCAGGATCACGCCGGTGGAGCGCGACACGAAGGGGGGGTTGATGGTCGGGTAGGGGCCCTTGGCAACCTTGCACCATGCATGGCCATGGCTCAATCCCTGCAGGCCCGTGGAACTGACGGGCAGCGTGCACCACTCGGGCAGCTGGAAGCACGTGAGGAAGACGTAGCCCCAGGCGACGACCGTCAGGAGGCGGGACAGACGGCCGTGGAGCACAGTATCGCTGTACCTCGCTCGTCGAGGGTGGGGCTGGCTCACTCCGTCGAACGAGTCGACGATGAACCGTCTGGCACTCCCCATGTTGCGCTCATTATCGACATTGTCCTCCTGCTACGTGGGCGCCGGCCATCAACGCTGAAAGCACATCGACGACGCTGAGCGACAGGGGATCGTGCGGAGTTGCGCGATGGCACGCCTCACCTGTTCGCGGACCTCCTTGCCATCCGAGGCGAAAGCTACGGACTTGCCCAGATTCTCGATCATGGGTCCGCTCCCCGGCGGCATCACCACCCTTATTGTCCGGAAGGGGAGCCGGGGAGGCTGGCGCCTCAGGCGCCATGGCCCCAAGCGCCGATCTCCTGGGCATTGATGCAGGCAGTTCCGCGCAATCGGCGGGGGAGGCGGGCTGCCGAAATAATATTACTGCCTGCACCAAATCGGTGACTGCTTGCACCAAGTCACGTGCACACTGTGTCCCAACTTCAGTTTTAGGGTTAGGTTTAGTTTCAGGGTGAGTTCTAGGGTTACGGTTAGGGTTAGGGCAGGTTTAGGTTTAGGTTTTAGGGTTCAAATTTTAGGTTATAAAAGTTTTGGAGGCAGTTGGTGCAAGCAGTCACCGATTTAGTGCAGCCAGTAATTGTATGCACGAACTGCCTGGCCGCCCCGCGGAGGGGCCTCCCCACTGCGGGCTTTCATGCACATATGTTTTGGATGACGTGTCGGTTTGACAGCCATCCTTCGGGTGCAGGCGGGTTCGGACCTGTCTATCTTCAGCCAGACCCGCAGTTCGGTTTGCCCATGGCAGTGGTGCTTTGGTGGCACGCAGTCCACGGCGGCGAAGCTGCTCAGTCTGTGTCAGCATTGGGATGTGGTGATGAGCGGTGTCGTGGCAGTCCTTGACTTACCAACATTTTTTTGTAAATCGTAAACTTGGGAGATTTTTCGCCAAGTGGAGCGTAGCAAAGAATTATGCTGTGGCTGCGTTGCACTTCCTGGTGGTGCTTCCATGCCTGTTAGGCAAGCACAAAGGCAAACATTATGCAGCAGACCGCCAGGCGGACTGTGGCAGACTGCCAGGCGGCAGGTCACACACATAAAAGCATAATTTTGCTTGCAAGTTTCCTGACTATTATGGGATATCCAATGTTCAACTTTGATGTGTTTGCTTCATGCCAAAGTGGGCGCGGATGGCAGCACCAGTGAGTTTAAGATTCAGAAGATCGCTGGCCAACAAGGTGTTGAGACGTTTTTCAACAATTTTGCAATCTCTGAATGAGAACGGTGTGAAATGGGCACCAGTGCGCCCGTTTCGGTGTTCTTTGCCACCAGCGTGCAAACAGCACCCAAAGCAGACAAACCTCAATGGAGGCCATAATGATGCATATCCAGGGTATGGCACTCAAATCCAGAACAATGTGTCTTGCCCTGAATATGTGTATCCAGGGTAGTCAACTTTCTCCCGATGCATGGTCGAGGAGTGCCCAAGCACTTAAGCTCGGAAATTCTGACCAGGTCGCTCCCTTCCGCTCATTGCAGAAGACGCTATTTGGAACTCCGTGCGCTTAGAATCAAGTGCCGGCGAGACAGGTGGGCAGGGATCGAGGTCAATAACGCTAAGAGATTGTGTAAAATGATCAGACGGCCAGCATAATTGCCAATATACTTTTACGATGAAACAAGTTATGAAAAGTCTCATGTGATGGATCATTATCGGCATGCCGATAGCAGCTGCGCAGCTGCTTATAGGTACCCCTACTGTATTTGCATCGACTGCCTGAACTTTGTATGCGAAGAACTTGAGCCACTGCGAAGGAGATTACGGATCCTTCGCAAATCCAGAACCACACATGTGAACCCATGGCGTACAGCGCAGGATACACTTCCGATCACACCCGCAACAGCACACAAGTGCGCAAACAACATCCAGCACCCGCACTGCCCAGTCCCATCCTCAAGAACAGCAACCAGTCCCTAACGCTTGTAGTTAAGCCCACGAGACTCCATGCTCAGTTCCCGCCTGTCGCCCACTGTCCGAGGCTATCGCTTCATATAGAGCGCCGGTGAGGACCAAGGCTTCCATGCACGGAATCGCCACAATTGTGGCCATTATGGCTTGCAACGCATCAGCCCCAGACGTTTAAGTGAAGCTCCAGCAATCACCAGACACTCTGGCTCAGACGACACCACCTGGCGAACATGGACGCCAGCCAAACACAGCTGCATGCCGGTGCCCTCGCCCCTCAGAAGACAGCGCTTCGGAGAAGCCTGCCTTTCGCATTTCGCAATTCGCAATTTCGAAAAATTTCGTGAACCCAACGTCAGCAAGACTGCGCCGACGTCACGTACAGGACACGCGCCAGCGCCTTGGCCACAAACCACGCGGCGGCTCTTGTACAAGACATCCTGGGGAAGAATTGCCATGGGAATTCGACGCTTGGGGCAACGCCAAACATCGAGCGTATATCGCCAATCTGTGCTCTTGAGCCAAGGCGCACCGAACCCGCTGCGTCCCAAAACGTGCAAGGTGCGGAAGGTGAGATCTAATGGAGCCATGCAAAGCCATGGAGAATGCCACCCTGAGGAAAAACTTCAGCTTGCATCCATTGCCATGAGGGCCCGTCTACTTTACTCCTTCGCTCCATGACGCCGCAACAGGCCAGCAACACTTTGCTTGTGATCCCACAAGGAAGGCATTCAGCGTCCAGCTGCAGCGCGCTCTTGCCAGCCTAATCATGAAACGCGTAGGAAAATTGTAAGGCATTCATTCCAAATCAATTCCAGCATTGGCAGCACACAAAGCGCAATTTGCAATTGTTGAAGAGCAATAATATGACAATAATTTCAATTCGCAACGACACCTCAACAGATGGTCAGGTTGACAACAGAGAATGCAATCTTTTGCATGCATCTTTTGATGCCGACACATCAGATGGCGAGGACAGCACGCCATTCTGCTGCACTTTGTTCGTAAACCAAGAATTGTCAATGCAAAGCCGGGCATCCGACACGCATCAGTGGAGCCGATGATGGCAAAGCAAAATAACAAATTAATACACAACAATTAACAAATCTAGCAAGCAGCGAACTGGACCTGCACGGCCAGCTGACTTATCGAGCAGCACGTCCGAGCTTGTGGTTTATAGACTTCCCCAATACTCCAGTTGACCACCATTACGCTGAAAGATTATGAACAAACCCCAGAACAAGGGAACGAGAGGAAACTGATACAGTGCCATGATTTCGATTTCACTTGACGAGGACACACAAGGCCAAAATATCAGCAGGCACAGCACCTTGTTCCTGTGGTTGAAGTCTGCACCGGCAGTCAAAAGCTTCTCCAGGACAGCACCCTCACGCCAATGGGCAGCGAGCAGCAGCGGCGTGTTTCCTTCCTGTGCATGGGACACAAACTCGGGATTAGCGTGCCATTGCAACTACTGTCGACATCTAGAAGATAAGGCAGACACAAACAGATTGGCGCCGACCACGTGCCATCATGCGTGAGAATATCCAGTGCCATTAAGTAATAAACGCACCAACTCGACCATGCGCACAACAAGGAGTGGCTGGTCGCTACAAAGATTGGATAGAACTACGTCATCAACTCAGTTGACAGCAGTACACGCACTCAATGCCACCACGGGCTTAGGCAAGCAGTGACGTGTCACTCTTGTTCTGTGGAATGCAAACGCAACAATTCAAACAGTTCCCGACACTTCTTGTTGTGAGTTTGTGGGAGCAGCATTGGCCAGGTGCTCACCTGGTCACCTCCTTCGAGCGACGCCCCTCGTCCAAGAAGCATCTCTGCCGTTGCCGTGTGGCCACCTTGTGCTGCGAAGTGCAGTGGCGTCATGCCGAACTGCGCACCAGGTGATCGATCGGGCACTCACTGGATGGCTGAAATATGCAAGAGTTGTGATCCTTAACCACAAACACTAGGCAGCCTAAACATCCTCCAATGCAGTGCACAGGCTGCCAGATCAAGCCATACCACTGATGCTGATTAATGCATAAGGGCAATTCGGAAATTCCTATCCGTACATTCTACGTGACGGGAATTCATTCCAACAAATGCGTCCATGCTCCAACTGGTCGTCACACGCATAGGCAAAAAGTTGTGAGTTTGTGGGAGCAGCATTGGCCAGGTGCTCACCTGGTCACCTCCTTCGAGCGACGCCCCTCGTCCAAGAAGCATCTCTGCCGTTGCCGTGTGGCCACCTTGTGCTGCGAAGTGCAGTGGCGTCATGCCGAACTGCGCACCAGGTGATCGATCGGGCACTCACTGGATGGCTGAAATATGCAAGAGTTGTGATCCTTAACCACAAACACTAGGCAGCCTAAACATCCTCCAATGCAGTGCACAGGCTGCCAGATCAAGCCATACCACTGATGCTGATTAATGCATAAGGGCAATTCGGAAATTCCTATCCGTACATTCTACGTGACGGGAATTCATTCCAACAAATGCGTCCATGCTCCAACTGGTCGTCACACGCATAGGCAAAAAGTTGTGAGTTTGTGGGAGCAGCATTGGCCAGGTGCTCACCCAGTCAACTCCTTCGAGCGACGCCCTTCGTCCAAGAAGCATCTCTGCCGTTGCCGTGTGGCCACCTTGTGCTGCGAAGTGCAGTGGCGTCATGCCGAACTGCGCACCAGGTGATCGATCGGGCACTCACTGGATGGCTGAAATATGCAAGAGTTGTGATCCTTAACCAAAAACACTAGGCAGCCTAAACATCCTCCAATGCAGTGCACAAGCCGCCAGATCAAGCCATACCACTGATGCCGATTAATGCATAAGGGCAATTCGGAAATTCCGATCCGTACATTCTACGTGACGGGAATTCATTCCAACAAATGCGTCCATGCTCCAACTGGTCGTCACACGCATAGGCGAAAAGTTGTGAGTTTGTGGGAGCAGCATTGGCCAGGTGCTCACCCCGTCAACTCCTTCGAGCGACGCCCCTCGTCCAAGAAGCATCTCTGCCGTTGCCGTTTGGCCACCTTCTGCTGCGTAATGCAGTGGCGTGATGCCCCCCTGCGCACCAAGTGATCAATCGGGTACTCATTTGATGGCTGAAATATGCAAGAGTTGCGATCCTTTACCAGAAAAACTAGGCAGCCTAAACATCCTCCAATGCAGTGCACAGGCTGCCAGATCAAGCCATACCACTGATGCCGATTGATGCATAAGGGCAATTCGGAAATTCCAGTCCACTGAATTTACGTGACAGGAATTCATTCCAACAAATGCGTCCATGCTC